TACAATTTTTAATAAACTAGGATAAAACGATACCTACCCCAAATGGAAATAAAAAATAAAACAAAACAAAAATATAAAATAAAATTACAAGAATAATAAATAATTTATAAAATTTTAAAAATTAAAATAAAATATAAAATTAAATAAAACTAGGTAAGGCTGAAAAAATAACAAATAAATATATACGTAAAATCAGTTGAAAAGTCTGAATACAAAACCACAAATTAAAAAAAAAATATTGAAATAAAAACTAATAAATTAACTAAATAAACACTAATTAAATAAAATAAAATGGAAAACAAACCAAAGAAAAAATTAAATAACAAAACGAAAATATAAAATTAAATAAAAAATAATAATATGAAGATAAATTATAAAAATAATACATATAACACAAATAAAATACAAACTAAAATAAAAAATTTTTATTAAACATTAAAAGATAATACAAAAGGGTAAATATAACAAATAAATAAATTGAAATAAAATTACAAATAAACAGGAAAAATTAAATTTTAATAAAAGGCAAAACACAAAAAAAAAAATACAAGTACAACATAACACAGAGTTAACAAAATAAATAATATACAAGATTAAAAAACCCTCAATTAAGAACAAAATTGAAAAATATTTATTAAAAAAATCAAAAATTTTAAATAAAATAATATACAAAACTGAACCAATTAAAAATTAAGAGAATAGAAATGACATAAAATAAAAATGGTATACAATAAAACCAAAAGAAAACTTTAAAATTAAATAAGTAAAACTACATAAAACTAAAAATTTTAAATACATTAAAATTACAAAAACAGAAAACAGGCTAAATTTGCAAATTTAAATAAAATACAAAATAAAAAAAATAGAATAAAATAAAAGAAAAGAAAACATAAGAACTTGAAAATTAAAAGAAGATAAATAAACAAAAACAAAAAAAAAATAAACTTTAAAATTAAAATTAAATACGCTTCAAAAAAATTTAGATATGCAGTAAATTAAGCGAAATTATAAGTAATTGCACTAGTGGATTCCCGCTTGCATTTACATACATACATATGTCACATACACCACCGCAGAACTGGCGACGCACATCAAGAAAAACTAGAAAACACTTCCAAGTGCTTGATGTATGTAGTTAATAAATTAAATGCTTACGCAGAAACTTTACATCAGCTTGTTCATTTGTTCTTCGCACGCTTTGTATAGCACAGTGGGTCAAGAAAGGAAAAATCGCAGTAAAATATTTATTTACATATAAGGAGTACCACTATTTTAGTGGAACCTAAAAAACAAAAGGCAAAGCAATGCCGCTAATTTTATTTGAAATTAATGAGTTAGAAATTTCAAAGAAAGAAACAAAAAAAAATCAAAAGAAACAAGTCAATTAGTATAACATAGCTAATTTTTGGTTTATTTTTCACATAAAATTTTAGGATCAACATTTTATAAAAATTAAAGACGAACAAGCTTGTTGGATAAAAAATATATATATGTATTTTTTTTGTGGGGCTTTAATTTTATTTTAGTCGCAATACATACTTACAAATTTCTATATGTTCTGTGAGTATATAGATAGCATCAAGAAGATCTGCCAATGCACATACCTGAAAGAAAAAATTTGAAAGCAAAAATTAGTAAGTGAAAGCGAAATTTCTACTTTTTATACTAAAAAAGCCAATGTGAAGTAGGAAAAAAGTTAAGCTAATCTGTTTTAAGTTAAAC